TCAGGAGCAAACTCCCATGGATGACCCACATGCAGAGGTAAGGATAAAACCACAATTGAGCTCCAGGAGCAGAATGGCTAAGGAAGAGGATCAAAAACCTTTCCACCAGCGGTATAAGCTGCAGGTAAGTCCACACAATCAACTGCGTAGACTTTGTGTCTATGGCATATATAAAAGGACAATGGGTGTTCCCACAAAAGAAAACGCCTAGCTCTAGCAGCTGTGGACACTGGAGGCAAGAACACACAGGAGCAGGGCCAGATTAGAGTCTGAGCTGTCCCCAAAACAGGTCAAAGCAATCTTGAGAAAGAAAGAGGACCTGGTGGAATACACCTTCCTGACTTCAGACTATACTACAAAGCTACAGCCATCAAGACAGTATGGTACTAGCACAAAAACAGAAATATAGACCAATGGAACAAGACAGAAAGCCCAGAAATAAACCCATGCATCTATGGGCACCTTATTTTTGACAAAGGAGGCAAGAATATACAATGGAGAACACAAGTCTCTTCAGTAAGTGGTGTTAAGAAAACTGGCAGCTACATGTAAAAGAATGAAATCAGAATACTTCCTAACACCATACACAAAGATAAACTCAAAATGGATTAAAGACCTAAATTTAAGACCCAAAACTATAAAACTCTTAGAGGAAAACATAGGCAAAAATCTCTATGACATAAATCATAGCAAGATCCTCTGTGACTCACCTCCTAGAGTAACGTAAATAAAAACAAATATAAACAAGTGGGACCTAACTAAACTTAAAAGCTTCTGCACGACAAAGAAAACCATAAATAAGATGAAAAGACAACTCTCAGAATGGGAGAACTGCAAATGAAGCAAGTGACAAAGGATTAATCTCCAAAATATACTAGCAGCTCATGAAGCTCAATATCAGAAAATCAAACAACACAATCAAAAAATGGGAGGAAGACCTAAACAGACATTGCTCCAAAGAAGACATGCAGATGGCTAACAGACACTTGAAAAGATATTCAAAATTGTTTATTATTAGAGAAATGTAAGTCTAAACTACAATGAGGTATCACCTCACACTGGTCAGAATTGCCATCATCAAAATATCTGCAAAAAATAAATGCTAGAGAGGATGTGGAGAACAGGGAACCCTCTTGCACAGTGGTGGGAATATAAACTGATACAGCCACTATGGAGAACAGCATGGAGGTTTCTCAAAAAACTAGGAATAAAACTACCATAGGACCCAGCAATCCCACTACTCGGCATATACCCTCAGAAAACCACAATTCTAAAAGACACATTTACCCTAATGTTCACTGCAGTATTATTTACAATAGCTAGGACATGGAAGCAACCCAGATGTCCACTAACAGATGAATGGATAAAGAAGCTGTGGTACACAGATCTATAATGGAATATTAGCCATAAAAAGGAATGCATTAAAGTCAGTTCTAGTGAAGTGGATGAACCTAGAGCCTGTTATACAAAGTGAAGTTAAGTCAGAAAAAGGAAAACAAATATCATATATTATAGTATATATATGGACTCTAGAAACAGTACTGACAAACCTATTTGCAGACCAACAACAGAGATGCAAACACAGAGAACAGACTTGTGGACACAGTGGGGGAAGAAGAGGGTGGGACAAATTGAGAGAATAGCATTGAAAGATATACATTAACAAATGTAAAAAGACAGCCAGTGGGAATTTTCTCTATGAAACAGGGAGATCCTCCCAGTGCTCTCTGACAACCTAGAGGGGTGGGATAGGGTTGAAGCTGGGAGGGAGGTCTAAGAGGGAGGGAACATATGTATATCTATGGCTGATTCATGTTGACGTATGGCAGAAACCAACACAACATTGTAAAGCAATTACTCTCCATTTTAAAATTTTAAAAGAATTTTTTAAAGATAAAACTGAATGGAAAAATACTGTTTTTATTTAGTATTATGCTGAGTATTTGCTATGCATTTGAAAAACCAATGCTTTTAAAATATAATTATTTTCATCAATTAAAACAATAATTTATCAAATAGAAAACATTTTTTAAGACAGTACCCAGACTAAGTTTATAAAATGTCAAGACATACTGTTCAAAGAGGTAGATGATACTAAGGGCAATCATTGACATTACTGTGGATTTGAAGCTATACTGCCTTCTATAGACATTCACTCCCTGAATTCACCCCTCCTGCTAGCACAATTTTCATCTGGGGATACGCCCTCCTCCATTTGGTCTCAGCGGCAAACTAGCCCCACCGGTCCAGGAGACAGTTCACGACACATCAGCAAACAGTATGTCCCTGGCCACTGACTTCAGTATAATCCTACACCAGTCCAATCAGATCGACTCTGAGGGCTTTTGCAGGAACTGCCAGAAGAGAGTAACTCCACTAGATTTTAAATAATCGGTACATGAAACTCAGATGTGCAATAACCCCCCCTGACAGCATAATAGGAAAGTCTACCTGAGAATGGAACCACCTAGTGGAGGTGGAAACAGGAAATGGAGAGAGCAAGGGAACTGATTATATCATTTTAGCCCCAGTGCAAAGCTATGCTTTAAGCTACGCTTACTCCTTGGAAGGAAAGTTATGACCAACGTAGACAGCATATTAAAAAGCAGAGACATTACTTTGCCAACAAAGGTCCATCTGGTCAAGGCTACGGTTTTTCCAGTGGTCATGTATGGATGTGAGAGTTGGACTGTGAAGAAAGCTGAGCACCGAAGAATGGATGCTTTTGAACTGTGGTGTTGGAGAAGACACTTGAGAGTTCCTTGGACTGCAAGGAGATCCAACCAGTCCATCCTAAAGGAGATCAGTCCTGGATGTTCATTGGAAGGACTGATGCTGAAGCTGAAACTCCAATACTTGGCCACCTCAAGTGAAGAGTTGACTCATTGGAAAAGACCCTGATCCTGGGAGGGATTGGGGGCAGGAGAAGAAGGGGATGACAGAGGATGAGATGGCTGGATGGCATCACTGACTCGATGGACATGAGTTTGAGTAAACTCCGGGAGTTGGTGATGGACAGGGAGGCCTGGCGTGCTGCAATTCATGGGGTTACAAAGAGTCAGACACGATTGAGTGACTGAACTGAACTGAACTGAACTGAAGCTATCCCTACCTCTAAGAGGCCTCTAAGAGAGTAAATAAATTCACTCTCACTTATTCAGCCTGGGTTGAATTCTTTCTTGCAACTGAAAAAAATCATAACTTTCTCTACAATAATCTCAATGTAGTCTCATGGATGAGGAAAGATCTTTCCCAAGTTCTTGCCATATAGCCTGGCTGCATCATTTAATTCCCTTGTGTCTCAGTATCATCAAGATAAAAGTATCAGCCATTATCTGCTTTAAAGTGTTGTGAAGGTTGAAAAAAGTTTGTGTAAGTAAAATGATATTTGAATCCAACGCCCTATAGATGGAAAAGTGGTCTCACTTCTTAAAAAATTATAATTTTACTTATTTATTATTTTGGGCTTTGATGGATCTTTTGTTGTTGCGCGGGCTTTTCTTTAGTTGAGGCAAGCAGGAGCCAGTCTCTAGTTGCAGTGCATGGGATTCTCATTTAGGTGGTGTCTCTTGCTGTCGGGCAAAAGTTCTAGGGTAAGGGGGGCTTCAGGAGTTGCAGCCCATGGGCTCAGTAGTTGTAGCTCCCAGGGTGTAAAGCACAGGCTCTAAAGTTGTGGCACATGGGTTTTGTTGCTTTGCGGCATGTGGGGGTCTTTCCAGATCAGGGATTGAACCCATGTTTCCTGCATTAGCAGGCAGATTTTTTACCAAGGAGCCACCAGGGAAGCACTCACTTTTTAAAAAGAAATTTTAGGAAGTCATTTTTACAATATGCGTTACTATAAAAGTTTCTAGGGACAAGGAGCTTAGGAAATATCAAGAGTACCTGCTATATTTAGACTCAAATCTAATTGCATTCAAGTCCATTTCTACACAGTACATGTGTATAAGAAAGAAAATTCAACTCCAAATCAAGTAGTCTTGAAATCAGGTATTAATTCTACCACCTTTTTTTTAAAAATTCTACCGCTTATAGGTTTGTATGACTTTCAGTAAAATAACCTAAGCATCTAAACTCTGTACCTGTAAAACAGAACAGTAATATCTATCTCAAGTTACAAAGTTTCTGTGAGGACCAAATGGGGCAACAGTTACAAAAGCTCTTGGCATGATGTCTACATATAAAATTCCTTCAGTAAAATATATTAAATAATGTTTTCCTAATGTGTTATTCAAATACCTAAAGTTTGAGGGAAAATTATTTTGGGGAAACGGAGGGACAAAGTTAGGAGGTTGAGATTAACATATACACACTACTATACTTAAAATATAAAAACAACAAGGACCTATTGTATAGCATAGGAAACTATACTCAATATTTTGTAATAACCTATAAGGGAAAAGAATTTGAAAAAGAACAAGTGTATGCATGTGTATATGTATGTGTGTGTAGATATAAAAGGAATATATATATACATATATATATATAAAAGGAAAGACAGTGAAAGTGCAGTTGCTCAGTAGTGTCCGATTCTGCAACCCCAGGTACTACAGCCTTCCAGGCTCCTCCATCCATGGGATTTTCCAGGCAAGAGTACTGGAGTGGGTTGCCATTTCCTTCTCCATAAAAAAGGAATATATATACATATATATAAGGAATCATTTTGCTATACACTTCAAACTAACACAACATTGTAAATCAACCACCATACTTCCAAAAAAACCCAAATTTTTAGGATATACTTATTTCACTGTCCATAATCAAATAGCACCTTACAGTTGATGGAAGGCCATTATTTATTTGGAAGTGACTTTCTTTATTCAGTGCTACACAAGAAAATAGTACTAAAGGCTGCCTTAGATTTAATAAGGTACACTGATTCCCATTTTAAGAACTATAGTACTTAACCAAATAAACTAGTATTTACCAAGATTTACATTAGAAACAGAAAAGAGTGTGTGTGTACTTATATAGTCAGGTATAATTTTTACTTTACATACCTCTGTAGGTCAACTATTTCATTGTTAAGGGTATCTAGCTCCTTAATAGCAGAGAAATCTGCAACAGGACTTGATCCTATGATGTTCTAAAAACAAAGAGTTCACAATTACAACATTATTACTATAAAATTGCATGTGGAAAAGCATTAAAAATCTTTAAAAGTACTATATGGATATATGTTTTATGGTATTAACTAACACTTTTAATTCACTTAAGAAAACTATCATTATCTAGCATAATTTCACACACATACATACAGAGCTATATACTAAGACATATTCCCTTACACTCTCTAAAAGCTGTTGTTCTATAATATATACCACCACTTGAGATCTCAATGTCTTCATCACTTGATCTTAGCCTGTCTAGAACACTGCAATAAAGAAGGTAACAGATTTATAAACTAATTCCTCCACTGAAGCATAAATTTCTTGGGGAGATGAATGGTGATTTATTTGTATTTGTATCAAATAAATGATGGTTGATTTTATTTAATTACACAAATATTTACTTTCATTAAATAGTTTCAGTGTCTCCTCTATTTAAACTAATGCCAACCACCCAGCATATTTCACAGTAAATATTAATATCACCATACATGAAACTATCTTCATATGATATCATTTACATAAGATTTTCTTTTGATAATGAAGATATCAGAATTAGTCTCTGAATGGTATTTGTATTTAGAAAACCCAGCTGATTTATTCTGGGTACTGCTATTTTACTAGCTGCATGATTTCACTGTGAAACAGGGAAATAATCTCTTGCCTGCCCACTTCAAAAATTAAATATTGCATATGAAGTCACTCTACAAACTTTATGATATTTTATAAATACAAGCTATTATAATTAACTTCCTCAACAGAAAATGCTCTTTAAATTTCTCTCTTTAGAGAGAAAGCCTTGCAATGACTTGCTTCCACTCTGGCTGAATTTCCTTTGTGAAACATTTTTGTCGCCTTACATAACCGGCTGAAGTCAGGGCAAAAAGATAATTGTTCCTTCAAACACTTGGTCTACACCCTGTGCTACAAGCAGATTGACAAATAACGGGATGATCACCATTAGGAAATGTTAAAACTGAGATTTAAACAGGTAAAACTAAGATATATAGAGGACCTCATTAGCAGAACATAAAATTTACTATTATACTTATGCTGCTATGAATGTAATGTTATGTCACCAACTTGCGCAACAGAAGAAGAAATCTGGAAAGTTCACAATATCCTATCTGCTCATAATCATAAAGGTTTACAAATAACTTAAGTACTAATCTGAAAACTGCAGAGCTGTAGGTAAGGCAGGTATTATTATAAATCTCATTTTAGAATTAAGGAAACATACTAAAGGACTTGCTTAAAGTTGAACCCAGCTAATAGGCAATATTGCCAGGAGACTTCTAATTAAATTCAAATGCTATTTCACATTATCCCCCTCAGCACCTGCAAACTAAGACCATTTAAATAAAACTATTACCCTAAAAGCCAACTCAATGAACAGATACATCCATAAAATGTGGCAAATAATCATTTCTATACTTCTTTATGCTACACTGCATAACAGTCCTCATGTGCTTTGTTTTGATTATCAACACCAAAATTAGGATCAATTAGGATTCAATTAATGCTAGTCTCAATTTTATATTAATTACAGATCTATACCAAATATACCTCTTACAATGTTTTACTACGTGTTTCACTAATACACAGACCCTTATCATTCCATATTAAATTAGAAATTTTAAAGTGATTTCCAAATGTGACAAGTATTTACCAGAATTTTAACTTATGAGCTAAGCCTGGCCAGACAATTTGAAAGGTGAAGAAAATGAAAAATAAGCACTTAGTCTCACTTTCATCACCAAGAGTAACTTATACATCACCTAAAAGCTACTGAGAACTTTGCTATCAGAGGTGCAAGCAAACCAAGAAACTCATGACTCCCACACCTCTTCTTGTCATTCTAACTCAAAAAAAGTGACTCACATTTGACAGTCTTTCACTATTAAAAATATCATCAAATAAGAGTGAGATAAATAAGTTTAACGTCAAGCAAGTTATAAAGTGATACCACAGATGACTCCAGAATGAAGAATACTGTACTTAGTTGGTACAGATCAGTGTGCTTGTGTGCCTCAATTACTGACACAAAAATTAAACTCCCATTCCAGAGCAATAAAATGACATTCAATCAGGAAGCATGGAAAGGTACAGCTAACAGCATATAAGGCACAGGAAGAAAAATGTACTTTTTTATGTTCCCTAGTCACAGAATATTTTCTCTCACCCTGTTTTGTGCATTACAGAAAAGTTCCACTTTGGTGATTCTAAGTGGATCAGAAAGCCTAAGGAAGGCAAGTTAAAACACACACAAGGACCAAGTGATAGACAGGTGACAAAAGCATGCTGTTTAGGTATTTTCTCTGCATCAACTTAGCTGCATAAAAAAACCTCTAATTTCAAAATGTATCTTGTAAACCAAAAACTGTAATGCTAAAAAAGGCATAAAGTAAAGCTCTAACCTTGAGAGAGTAGAGTTAAGAAACTGACAGTACAAGAAAGGCGAAAAGCAGAGTGCTGCAGAATGGAAAAAATAGTCCAAACTAGAAAAAACACAGAAAGGAAAGCAACGTTCAAAAAAGGATTAGTCAAAGCTGCAAAAATGCAGTTCTAAAAAAATTAGATTATAAAGAGAAAATAGATTATTTGAATGACAAAACAAATGCAAATTTTAATTTTTAAGGTTAAAATTATTGGTTATAGGTAAGACAACAGTGATAAAATCCCATTTTAATGAATACTGGTATCTCACATAGAAGTACCTATGCTCTAGTGAATGGACTTTACTAAATCTACTAAACTGAAAATTCTGTACAGCAGACACAACTCAAAGTGTCTACTAATTAGAGCCTTTGATGAAATGAAGGGGGCAAGGCAAAAAAACAGTCTCTATAGGTGAAAGAAGATGAAACAACACAACATTCCATAACTGAGGTACAGTTATAGCAGGGGGCATAAATACAAGTTTGTAATCTTTATCTTTCCAGGTGGCATCACTTTTAGCCTTCTCTACAACTTAGGGAATCCATGTCCTACATGAAAGTAAATCTCAAAAATTCACAAAATGCTCCTCCCCAAACACTGACAAGGCAGATTATCAAATAGTTACTTTACTTGAAAATAAGAATAAAAATTCTTACACATAACTTCTATACTTAGTGGCTACAAATTTCTGTTTAGTTGAGTTAGAGAAAATAATCCAATTTTGACTTACTTAATTTGTTAAAATGGGATTTTTTTAACCTATGCAACCAAATTAATGCAAAATCAAAATAGTCTACTGACATTTTAAAGAGAACTCGCCTCATATCAAATATGTGACAACTCCTTATATATATAACTTTAAATAAGAATCACCACAGTCATGGTTACTTTGTAGGTCACAAGAAATTTAAAGATACAAGTACATAGTTTTAAGGCAAATAGCCACTAGAGTAGGCAGGATCTTTTAAAGCTCTATTACAAGGCCAAGGTATTATAAACCACAATATTAGGAAGTGTTTCTAGATGAGAAAAGAAAAATCAAGGTACAATATTACTAAAACATGTAGTTTTGAAAATCCCCACTGTTGGCCAGAACCAAAAGTACCTAAAACCTGTTTCTAACTGTTCAGACATGAAATGTGGTTGTATGTTCAGGAATAGAGGTCATCCATATGGCAAAAGCCACACAGGTTTTTCCTCAAAAAGTTTTTCTTTTCTTTTTATGTAAAATCAACAAGTAATCATAATCTCTTCGGTTTTGTTTTCAACTTTGTATTGCTTTCTCCAAGTGTGAATTATCAAATGAAACATAATAATTTAATTCTTATAGATTTCATTTAAAATCAACACTATTAATAAAAATTAATTCACAAATCCACGAGGGGAAAAACAAGATCAAACTTTTCCAATTTTCAGACTGGAAAACATGGTTTGCAATACGTGTAATAATGGCGGGGAAAATGAGCTACAGCCCAAGGGTATCATACAAGGCATTGAACATATTTATAGGTACAAATTAAACTACAAACAGTATACTGCTCTGTTTCTAGCCAGATACATTTTCTCCACTATTCCATACAAACTGAGTTTGTCTTCTGACACAGCATTTGCTTCTTTCTATTAACTGTATTAAGGTTTTACGTTGTCTTACCTTTTGTAAAGTGGCCCTATCTGATGGTGGGATCATCTCAGGAGTGAGAATGTGAGGAGGATCAATGCCCTTTATTAACTTCTGATTGATTAAGTGAAAAGCCAAGGCAAATTGATCTTTTGAAAGCTTCCCACAGTTCTTTGTGTCACATAATGCCCTGTGCAAATAAACAAAATGAACAGTATATAAATGCCACAACTAACATTCTAAAAATCCGGGGGAAAATTAATATGACTATGTAGCTCTAAAATAATCATCATCTGAATTAAAAAAGAAAGTCACACCAACTCATGGCTGGCCCAAAACTCACTAACATGTTAGAAGAGAGATATTAGCTGTTAATAAAATGGTAAGAAAAAGAGAACCATTCACCCTGGTGCTGATCAGGGGGGTCTATAATTCGGGTTTGCTCTGTGCTTTCTTACTGATTTCTAGAATCACTACAGAGTAAAAGTTGTGGTGGGCCAATATTCTCTGCTCCCAACATTTTAAACATTAAAAGATGTCAAATGAAACCTAAAGTTTCAACAAATTTGGTTCATTCATGGCATTAGAATGATTATAAAACAAGCAAAATACCCTGTGTCAGCTTGTTTCCTGTAACTTTTGAAGTAGGAGGATATAAGGATCCCCAAGTCAAAGAAAAACAACAGCTGCAAATGGAGATCACGTGTGGAAAGAAAGCAGCAATCTGGAAACCTTTACAAAATAACTTGAAGAGAAACAGCAATGTTTTATTCTATTTGCTTTCTCCTTTTTCTATTTTTTTAAACTCAGCTTTCTAAAGTTCTGACCTGAAAGATTCACTGAAAACCAATGTGGCCTGACAAAAAGACTACAGACTACGGTGTAGTCAAGAAACCTTGAATTCCACTTTTCTACTATTTCTTCTTGTGACACTGGCTGTATTTTTTAACCTCTCCAAGACTAAGTTTCTTAATCTACAAAGTGGAGATAGCATCCATCTTGCAAAGTTACTGTGAGAATTAAAGACAAAATACTTAATAAGTTTGGGCATAATGGGAAACCCATGACAGCTGCCATTTATTCAGTATAGTGCCTAGCCTAGGCACTAAAAGTGGAAGCTACCATTAGTTATATATATTTAATCTTTTCCAGTCTTGAGCTCTTATTCTTTTTAAGGCAGATCTACAGTCCTTTGTTCTTTTCTGTGTTCCTCTTTGCAGCTATGTGGTACCATTTTTGATGTCTGCCCCGTGAAAGCTCATTATAACTAACCTCAGTATAATGAGACAGATTAGCAGCGGGCACATTATAAAACATTTTCATTATATATTACCTCATTTAATGTGAAATTCACTAAAGACACTAAAGTCTGTCACTTTTAAGGACCAAGTGTGTAGTTCCCATGTAAAGGTATAAGTATACATATACTCTACAGAATTATAAAATGATGCTTTCAAGATTCTGCTTTTTAATACTGTTTAAATTTCGGAATATTGGATTCTCCTTTAAAAGCTGAAGTTTAATAGTTGATATAAATCAATGCTGGATTTTAACATTCTAATAACTGACACTGTCAACCTAATAAAATTATAGGTAACCTATCCACAAGCTTTTGTCCACTGCTCAGAAGAAATCAAGAGGGAGGGGATATATGTATAATTATGGCTGATTTGCATTGTCCTACGGCAGAAACCAATACAACACTGTAAAGCAATTCTCCAATTAAAAAAATAAATTTATTAAAAAAAAATCATCAGAAAAAAGTTTCACTATAAAGTTCTAAAACAAAAACTGTCCTACTTACTAATGCCTAAAAATATTACAAAAGTAGAGCCGATACAAAACCATTATTTGTTTTTAATAAAGTCTTACCAAATATGGGCTAGTAAGGCAGAAGGTAAGCCTGTCTTCAGGAAGATTTCACGGACTTCCAATCCTGACACAAATCCATCCATATCTTTATCAGTTTTCAAGAAGATTTCATCATATTTAGTTTTTTCTGCAGGGGATACAATCCACTACAGGAAAAAAAAACCACATATATATAAATATATTTCTGCCAAAATGAAACAAACTTTCAAGTGTCCCCTTTCAAGTCAAGACAGTATCTGTCACAAATTCTCAGCAACTCTATCCCACTAACTACAGCAACAGTATGTCACTTTCATCACACCCCAACTGAAATGCTGTGATGAAGAGAAAATTACAGAAAAAAAATATAGGTTAGCTACAGGGCCTATATTTAAAGATGCCCATTTTATTTTTTTTAAATAATGTGTAAATTCAAGCATAGTTAACTCTTGACTTACGAATGACCACATTAATATATGTAACTGGGAGAGTCTGTATAAATAAAAGACTCAGATAATTCTAAATCTCCATTTTTTTTTTTTTACAGTTACATTCTGAATTCTTAGCTGTAGCCAAATAGGTAAGAATCAGGGGGCTGGTTTGCATATTCTGTCATTATTTTCCTTCACTCAACTTAATAAGAAGCTGGTTACAGGAAAAGGCCTTGGACAACATAAAATTGGATAATTTGACCCCAAAGAATCAAGAGTTAACTTGAGATTGAACAAACAAAACATCTATTAACTATGCCAGGGCAAGCATGCCAGATTAACACAGTGTATCTTCTATCTCCAACTTGAATTCCAGGTAGATCAAGGCAAAGCCAACAAAACATCCATATGACTTAAGTAAGGCCATACAGGAGAGGATTATCTGTTTTCTCTAGGACATCACATTAGACAAGTTCAAAAGGAGAGAGCCCTGAAGTTTGATCCCTTTGATTGTTCCTCCTATCTTCACCAAGCCATCAGTTGTTAAATGCCATGCACTTTGTTTTTTTTAAAAAGTCCTTTAACAATGATAAATCTATACCTGTCTTAACGGTGCTTTGGTAGGTAAAATGCCTACTGGTGGGAAGGAGTGGTAAGATTCCTTGGCTGATGCTGAAGAGGGGATCAACCGCATAGGGCCTGATATACTGACCGTTTTCCTCTTAGAAGGTGGCACCAAGGCTGGAGGCAAGGACATTGGCACAGGTTCTTTCTCCAGTGCGCAGTATACCAAAAACATGGCCTTCAAAACAGATGAACCAGAGTCATATATATTAAAATCACTAAACAAAATCCACCCACGAATTAATTTCTATTCAACAAAAAAGCATCTTCAAGCTGCCTCAAATCCTTTTAATTAAGAAATTAAGCTGTGAAGGAAAGAAAGAGGAAAAAAGGGAGAGGTGAAAGGAAGGAGGGATAAAAGGAAATAAATTAAAACTAAGCAACTTTCAGGAAGATATTCTAAGCAGTAAAAACTCAGACACACACCCTTCAACTAAAAGTCTTGTAATGTCAAATGAAAACAACCTGGGGAAAAAAATATTTGCAAAGAAAGAACTAACTTCCCTAATATATAAAGAATTCCTACAAATTAACAGAAAAAAACCATAAATCCAGTAGGAAAACGGATTAACAGGATTAACAGATACTTTATAGAAAAGTAAATACTACAAATGGCCCATCCTTTAACTTACAAAAATATGCTTTCACTCACAAGAAAACAGAAAGTTAAAACTATATGAAAACACCCTTTCCCATCTATCAGCAAAATCATAAGACAATTTTGTTAGCTACAATAGGCAAACAGACACTCTCGTACATGGCTAGTGAAAGCTCACACTAGTACCAAGTCTACTGTAAGGCATTTTGGCAACATCTACCAAAATATTGACTTCCCTTTTGGCTCAGCAATCTGATATCTGGGAATCTATCCTTACATATTCTCTACTTATCTACATAGGAAAGGCTGTATCAAACAGGTTATTAATTAAAGAACTGTTTGTATCAGCACTTAAGTGCTCATCAACAGAAGACTGGTTTAAAAGACTGGGATATCCATACAATGAAATACTATCAAACCTTAAAAAAACAAAAAACACCAAACCCCTGGGAAATATTCTGTATCTTAACTGCAGTGGTACTTTCACAAAAATATACAATTGTCAAAAGTCATCAAATTGTATATTTAAATTGAATGCAATTCATTGTATGTAAAGTAGTCCTCAATAAAGCTGATCAGAAAAAAAAATCATGAAGCACTCTGTGTGAAAAGATATCCAAAATACAATGTTAACATGAAAAAAAGTACAGTGTTGAACAGTGGGTATGTACAGTCATGTATAATCTTTGCAGTAACAGGATAATAGTTACTCAAATTTGTCTCAGTTTGCATTAAGAAATTCTAGGGGGATCAACAAAGGCAGGATAAATAAGAATATATAGAGTAGGTGTAAATGGAACAGTTGAGGGCAAGGATGAGACTGATTTTTTTCCACTGAATATCCTTTTATATTGAACGGATTTATGAACCATGAGAATATTTTACCTATTAAAAGTTATTTTTAATTATAAAATTTAAAAAAAACCCACAAACTATTTTCAAAAGCTTGAAACGCCAGAAACAAAACAATCTGGCTAGCACATACTTCCAACCAAATTCACAATATATGTGAATATATTAGCTTGGCACTGAGTTAAAAGAAGTGAATAACATGCACATTAAGGTCAGCATTCCTCTAGTACAGATGGGAGTCATTTCCTGGAAAAGTGGACACTTGAAGAAAAAAAGCTTATGTCAGCCATCTGCTGCCAATAGACAACACATTTTTCTTAAGTTAAAAAAAGTATTGCTAAGTTCATGTTGCCTTGAAAATAGTTTTCCTGACAACTAAAGTAAAAAATTTTTCCACCAAATAAAATAGAAAAAGTGAACAGTATGCTGTTATGATTATGTTTGATTTCCTATTATATTGTACTTTATCTTAATCAAACTGAAACAAAGACGGCGAATCAAATGATGTACACTTGTCAAAAACAAAAAACCCACACACACAAAAAAACAAAACCTCCTTCCCCTCAAATCTGGCCAGCAACTAGTTTTTAAACTGAAAAGTTCTAGGTACTAGCAAATGCATTTGCACAGCTAGAGACAGACACTTAACTAAGAAGCATTTCAAACATCTTTTTGATGATTTCTAGGTAAAAGCATCAAAAATAAACCTAAGCTTACTCACAGATATAGACAAGAGGAAAAGAGGGTACTTTGTTTCACTGCTGCAGTCAATTACCACTAGTGGCTCACTTTCTTTGATTTTTTTCATCCTCTATGCTTTTAGGGAGTATTTCTCAAATTTTAGTGGCCACACCTGGAGGGTTTGTTAAAACACAGGTTTTTCAACCCAACCCCAGTGATTCTTATTCAATTAGTCTGAGGTTAACGCCTGAGAATTTGCATTTCTAGTAAGTTAACTGGTGACACTGATGTTTTTTATGGGAGACCATACTTTGAGAATCAGTATTTTAGGAGTTTCCTGAGGAGTTCTGTTTGTTCATTGGTTTACTCAATCAGCTGAACTGCCAGCATCTAATAACAGCAATCTAGGATGAAAATATCAGGTGTTTTTTAATGTCTTCCAAGTAATACATGCTTCCCTCATCAATTTAGTTCAATAAATCATTTACTGAAAAATTTCTTGCCACAAGACACTGTGCTAGGCATTACAAATACAAAAGTGAAGGGATCTCTCATTTTAACAATCCAACAGAAGAAGGTGCAAACATATGAAAAGTAAATTTCAATGCAACGTGAACAAGTTGAGAAAGATTCTTAATGACTAAGTCCCAAAAACTTCATACAATCCAACAAATAACATGGACAAAAATTTCACCACTTTCAGTCTAGGAACTTATCTAACAGAAAAATTTAAGGCTTTAAGAATGTAAAAATGAATAAATAGATAGGAAGACAGAATATAAGATAAAAGGGTCATGAGTCTCTCTCTCCAAGGAGGAGAGAAGGATAAGGGGGAAATTACAGTAGAGAAACTTGGCAAACACAGCCTTAACCAAGTGATGAAGGTTAATGTTACCAGTGATGTCACGTGGACATCATGTACCCCATGCCCCACGTGCCAATAAAAGCGATGAGAGAGGTAGTCTACATCTGTGGTATTCTTTTCAAAAACTCATACCCTCAGGCTAATTATGAGAAAAACAGATATTTCTAGGTTGGAAGACATTCCACAAGATACCTAACTAGTACGCTTAGATACTGTTAAAAGTTATAGGAAAAAAGGAAACACTGATAAACTATCAAAGACCAGAGAGACTGAGAAGACATAACAATTAAATGTAATGTGGCAGCCTAGACGGGATCCAAGGACTGAAAGGAAACACTGGCGAAATGCAAATAAAGTCTAGAGTTCAATTAACAGTAATGTACCAATGTTGGTTTTAGTTTTGATGTAAGAACCATGAGAGTGTAATACGTTAATATTATAAGAGAAGTGAGATGAGGGGCACTGAGGAATTCTCTGTATTTTATCTGCAACTTTTCTATAAATTTAAAGCCATTCTAAAATATAACAAACATAAAAACAGAATCAAAATCAGCATGATCTAGAAGGCCCAGGTTCAGCTCTGGCACTGTCACTAACCGATCTGCTTAAAGGAGCTAAATTACAGGATCTTGTTCAACTTTAAAATCTATGATAAAGCATAAGCTCATTTACCAAATATTAAGTTATTAAATTTAAGGGTCTTCACTTTAAATTTAAAAGCCATGGTTTCAGACAATAAAACAAAGAAGTATTTCACAGAATAGGACTGCACACTGATGGAACTCATTCCAACAAAGGGAACAATAAACTTTAACATAATTATCAGTCATTTTCCAATATCATAATTTTTTATTTATTTTTGGTTGCGCTGGATCTTTTGCAGCACATGGGCTCAGTAAGTGCAGCATGTGAGCTCTACGGCACACGGACTTCAGGATTTGTGGCACACAGGCTCAGTGGTTGCAGCTCATAGGTTCTAGAGTGTGGGCTCAGTAGCAAGACCCAGCTGTGGCACCTGGGTTTAGTTACTCTGCGACATGTGGAATCTTCTTGGACAAGGCATCAAACCCGTGTTGTCCCCTGTATTGGCAAGCAGGTTCTTATTCTCTGTATCACGAGGGAAGCTCCCACAATTTTATATAATATGGTATTTTGAGTTTTCAAACAGATATCAGAGAGGAAAATTTGACTCTTTCACAAAATGTCCCCTTAAGGCCCTATCAGACATATTCTCATCAGCTAAGTAAGTCAGAAGTAAAACTCAGGAAGATGTACTTCCAATATCCTTATACTCTAGTCATATAATTCATTCATGAGCAAACAGAATACTGATAATAGTCATGGACATTAAAAAAATCTGCATTCAAGGATGTAGAAATTATTTTTTGCCATCTTATTTTTGTGTGTATACATACACACATGACTGCAGTCACCATCAGCAATTATTCTGCAGCCTGGAACTTCAGCCATGAAATGAAGAGACACTTGCTCCATGGAAGGAAAGCTATGATAAACCTAGACAATGTATTGAAAGGCAAAGACATCACTTTGCAGACAAAGGTCCATATAGTCAAAGCTGTGGTTTTTCTAGTAGTCAGCTATGGATGTGAGAGTTGGTTCATAAAAATGGCGAGGCACTGAAGAATTGACACCTTCGAACTGTGGTAATGGAGAAGACTCTTAAGAGTCCCTTGGACTACAAGGAGATCAAACCAGTCAATCCTAAAGGAAATCAAGCCTGAACAGTCATTAGAGGGACGGGTGGGTGCTGAAGTTGAAGTTCCAATACTTTGGCCACCTGATGTGAAGAGTATCCTGCTGCTGGGCAAGATTAAAGGCAAAAGAAGGTAGCGGTAGAGGATGAGATGGCCAGATAGCATCATCAACTCAATGGATATGAATCTGAACAAACTCTGGGAGATAGTGAAGGACAAGGAAGCATGGTGTGCTGTAATTCATGGGGTTGCAAAGGGTCAGACACGATTTAGCAACTTGACAACAACAACACGTACATACCCATCTCAAAAGTCATTTTATGAACTACAGAAATAACCCCTGAAAGTAGTTTACAAAGTAATTTTAATTGTGGCCAGAACACCCAAGGCATGCCAAGGCCTAACCTTTACAAATTTAGTTAAAAGAAAAAAAGAAAAACTCCACCAAGATACTCTAGATTCTGGGT